TTATAACCCTCAAGAAGTAGAATTCTCCTTTCTGTGTTGCCGAAGAAAGGGGGCTGAACACCTTTTGCAGAGAACACCTTTCCGCGTAGGCGGCCTTCGGCCGCTCTTAGGGATTATAACCCTCAAGAAGTAGAATTCTCCTTTCTGTGTTGCCGAAGAAGGGGGGCTGAACACCTTTTGCAGAGAACACCTTTCTGCGTAGGCGGCCTTCGGCCGCACTTAGGGATTATAACCGTCAAGAAGTAGAATTCTCCTTTCTGTGTTGCCGAAGAAGGGGGGCTGAACACTTTTTGCAGAGAACACCTTTCTGTTAATTAATTAATTTGTCTGTGTTGCCGGAGAAGACTAGCGGAAAGTTAATATATTTAGAGAAAAATAAAATACACAGTCCATTATATTAAGTCAACTCTGTTTATTTTGTTGGTTCTATATGATATACATAGTTTATGCAGTCAATGAGTGCCAAATAAATGTCTTTTTTCGCCTTTTTGATTGAGCGACGCCAAAGGTATTCCACAACCACATCAGCAAAACTTGCGGGGTGATTGTAGTTTCGCGTTGAAAAAAAGCGCTTGACTACCCGCCACTGGGACTCAATTCTTTGAGTATGGGTCCCATCCTCAGCAACGAACGGATTAATGGCGTCACTATGATTGACCTTCTGATGGGTATATCCAAAATCAGAAAGACAATCATATGCGCGTCAGAAATCCGTTCGTATGATGCTACCCTCGACAACATGCTTTTTTATAAGGGGAATAAGCACTTCCGCTGAACGCACATTGTCTGGGCATACCTCCAGGCATAAGTCCTCGCTTCCATCTTGGATCATGCCCATCACCCAATGACCCTCAGCCCGCCTGCCTAAAAGTAAAATAAAATAAAATGTTAACTTAAAACTTTGTGAGGAAATCAGATAAAGCATACCTTTGTTAAACTTTCGTTTACCAAATTTGCTCTCGTCTATCTGCATTACCAGCCCTGGTCCACCAATTTTCCTAGTGAAATGTTGGTGGTCCAACTGGTATATTACCAGCGCCTCGCGGCAGTAGCTATACCAGTCAGTAATAGTGGCAGATGAGAGAGTTGTCGCCACCTTACAGTAGTCCTGCCGCAAGACTATTTCAGGTAGTACACATGGGGTACACTGATTCGTCATTGCTCAAACCACGTCCCAGCCGCAACGGAAACTCGGGTTCTCGATTTGCAGTTCCCCCTACGGCATACAAAAAAGCCGAATTTCCCGCCTTTAACCCGATTGAAAGGGGTTTTATGTACGGGGCAGAGCTTTGTTTTTGGTATTAAACCATGCTCCTCTGCAAATCGGGTCCCTTGTGCGGGTGTTCGCAGCTCCGTGATGACTCGCCCAAAATTCCAACCATTGTTGTTTGTGGCGCCAGCACTTGTGGACGGTGTATCATCTAAATATAAAATAATTTTTATTGATGTATATTTATTTTATTTGAAAATGTAATACCTGTTAAACTGAAATCCATTTTTCTTATTTTATTTATAATACCACAAGGAAACTCCAAATTAAAAATAAAAATTCAACCGCTGACGAATTACAAAGCACCGCTATAAATTTAACCCAACGAGCGAAAATACTTGCATAGCTAAATTGAATGTACGATAATACAAGTTAGACCACACAAATTTTGGGGACTATAGGACTCCCCAGGTCCTAAAGAACTGAAGTATATAAGTTAACACCAGTTGCGGCATCCACGGTTTAGTCAATATACCAAGGGGGACCAAAGCGACAGTAAACGAATTATTAATGCTTACTGGGTTTTTGCTTATATCCTTTTGTCCTTATCCTTCGTGTATACTTTTTGTGTTTGACAGCTCAGCTCCGCCATTTAATTTGCATATACAATCACAGGCGCACGGGTGATTTTCATACCAATTTTAATTAATAAATTGCGACGAATAAGTTTCAACTAAAGGAATAAAACAACTAACAACTAATAGTGTAATGTGTAAAGTAAATATAAACATAAAAATGAAGTTATTAAGCGGCTGTTTTAAGGCAGAATATGAGTAATAGTGTACGTATATTTCGGAAATTTGCAACAAATACCATATTTCCAACCGACATTATTGTTAAATTAGTGCACAGATTTAGTAAATTAATTTTTTGTGAACTTGCGTGAACTGTTGTCTACAAGTGTGTGTAAAAGGTTTTTGATTCGATTCACGCCTTTGGGCACAGCAACCCAAAATCGTTGTACAAATTCATAAACAGTACCCTATAAAAAATTTGCAAAAAACCTTTTTTGGCGCTATGTGGATAGAGAAGAAAAAATTTAAGGCCAGTGTGCTTAGACCGACTGTGGGGTCAGTGACTACTGTGCTGAAATACAGTGCAACGCCAACGTGGGACTCCAGCAGAACCTAGGAATGGAGGTAGAAGGACCAAACGGCGCTGAGGCATTTGTTTTTAGCGACGAAAATTCAGACCCCGATTAAAAATAAGAAGAATTGTCGGAGCTCAGTAGCTCTGAAAAAGCTTGCGAAATTAAGTTACTATTCGACAATATATTTTTACAAATAAAACAAACACATAAACTAAATCGAATTGTATTTTTTAATTTGGTGTCATGTATTTTTGGATATTTCGCTCACATCTATTCACTAATTTATCAATTATTTAGAGGTTAGAATAGTGGTCAGAAAAATCAGTAATTAGCCCTGTTCGCGTACGCACTATCCAGTAAATCCAGTACTAATTTTACTGGTTTTCTATTAGATGTCGTTTTCGTACGCAAAACTTGCAAGAAACTAGCAAAAGAGGGGAAATTGAGAGAGCAAAAATGACAGCTGAACTTGCAAGTTTTATTGGATTTTTACTGGATAAATTTTTACTAGCAACTATTTGCTAGTAAGAAAAACAGCTGATGGCATGGTGCTTAATGTAATTCACATTAACAAAATAATTGTATGTGGTGCTTTTAGAGTTGCAATTGACAAAATAAACCTATTTAAATATATAATAAGATGGAAAATATTAGTTTCTAAGAAAATTGCATCGGAAAATAACAAATAAATCAGCTGTTCATGAAACTATCAACTTCTTGCTGATTTTGCGTTTTCGTACTTTCTTGCATATTTCAC